AACCTGTCTGAATGCTTAGATATTCAAGTTCTGCAGATCAGAACTTTTAGAGAATTGGAAGTTTATCATTGGTATTTTTGTGGTTTGCAAAGATTGTGTGAATCAATTGTCCATTTTAAGATATCCAAGGAAATATTAAAAGGACACTGATGAAGCTGGAATGCTACTTGTATATTAAAATTCAAAATACTGGTGTTAACCATTTAGACTAATTTTTTTTTCCTCTAAAAAATAGTCTTTAAAAGGGTAAATGAACTCAGCAGGAGGTAGCATGGTTCATAAATACTGAATTTAGAGCCAAAATACCTAGGTTTGAAACCCAGAATCCTCAGTTACTGGTTGGGTGTCTTTGACAGATGAGCCTTATCTTCCTCTTTTGTAATGGGGTAGCTATATAAATTAAAATTTGAATTAAAAATAAAATTTAAAATTTAGTTCCTCAGTCATACTAGCGATGTTTCAAGTGCTCAGTAGACATGTGGCTAGTGGTGTCCGGTTTGGACTGCCAGCTACAGGTCACCTAACGTCATCACAGAAAGTTGTGTTGGACAACACTGAAATGTACCTTTAAAAGAGGCTGGAGGGGTTCAGTGAGATAGGTTGCATGATGTGTATTGAAGTGGACTATACAAAGGTAAGGAGATATGTCTGTTTAGCTTGCCTCCACATTTAAAAAATGAATCTAACACACAAACTATTTTACCTTCCTTGAGCAGATTTGCTAGATGTCAGTTTAGGGTAGCTATGGTTGGGGAAGGCTATCTTGAGAATTGTTTTTTTAGATAACACTCAAATCCAACTATCTGCAGTTGCCTGTAATTTATTTGTTTATTTAAGATTTTAAATTTATTTTTATTTTTAGAGAGAAGGACAGGGAGGGAGAAAGAGATGGGGAGAAACATCAATGTGTAGTTGCCTTTCACTTTCCCCTACTGGGGACCTGGCCTGCAACCCAGGCATGTGCCCTGACTGGGAATCGAACTGGTGACCCTTTGTTTTGCAGGCTGGCGTTCAAGCCACACCAGCCAGGGCAGTTGCCTGTAATTTAAATTGAGAGGAACCAGCTCAGATTTGTGGATCTTACTTGGCTTTTCATCCATTCTCTTTGTTTTTCCTTAAGAGGGTAATAGGGTGGAATGTTAATTAGATACAATTTAAGGGCTTTTGATATTGCAAGGATGGCGTTAGTTAGATTTGATGTGTTGTGATTATAGTGTTGGCACAAAGGCAACTTCCCATTAAACAGATGTGATGTGTGAGTTACGCATTGTACTTTGAACTCAACCCTGTTTTTACTATACACACAGCTTGCTAATTGAGATGTAAAACATTTCTTGGCCCTTTAGTTTTTCTTTTGGAGATAGCAGTTTCTAGTCCATAGACTTTCTGTAATTATGTGACCATAAAAGTGCACACATGGCCAAGGTTGTAGAGAAATCTGATGGTGGCCTTCAAGTCAATTGTTTATACTTGGTGTCATTTTAGTGAGGTTTTATTTGCTTGTTATTTCATTAATGAAAAATGATGAGGAGTGTTTCCAGGTATGTTTGCAGGCAGGTAAAGGGAAAGGTAAGGAGGCTGCAGGACCTGGGCAATTGTACTTGTAAATTGGGCAATGAAAAGATACTAATTTCATTAAATAAGCTTTTTAATCTTTAATTCTCTTTTTATAGCTTCAGGCCCCTGGAAAAGGCCTAACTAGCAGTAAAAGCAAGGATGACCTGGTGGTAGCCGAAGTAGAGATCAACGACGTGCCCCTCACATGTAGGAACTTGCTGACTCGGGGACAAACTCAGGACGAGGTGTGGAGATATTGGGCTTCTGTGGGGAATGTGGCTGTGGGTGTGGTTTCAGAAAATCAGACAACTAAATACAGACAGACATGAGTCAGATGTTTATTAGTGGCTTTGAGTCACAGTCTTCAAATCAGGGTTGGGTTTGATTTAACTGCAGAGGGATGACTTAGTGAAGGTAAAGACACAGATAGGTATGAATTCCCCTGGGTTGGTCTGAGTGAGAAACAATAAAACTACAATTTCAGACACCAGAGAGAACTCATTCCTACCTTATTGTTGGGATGCATGGATGGGGAAAATCTGTCTTGTTACTTGTCATTGAAATCAGTTGCCACATTATCTTTTTAATAGAATGTTTCCTTTTTAGATCAGCCGACTCAGTGGGGCTGCAGTGTCGACTCGAGGGAGGTTCATGACAACTGAGGAGAAGGCCAAAGTGGGACCAGGGTGTGTCTGCATATCCTCTACTTTGGGGAAGGCTGGGTATATGACTCACATTAGCTTCAGATTTTTATTCTTAGGGAACATAGGTAAATGTTTGATTAGTAGCTACTTTGGTTAATAGATATGCATGTGTGTATATGTGCTTTATTACAGAATTTGGGACATCCTCAACAGATACAAGAAGTGTTGTAGTTATTCTTTTTCCTTTTGTGCTTTAGTTTTTTAGTTGACAGTGTTTTTATTGAAGGCAACAAGTTGTACAAAAGTGTAAAAGAAGATAATTGTTAACATTTAATGTATATACTTCCTTTTTAAAAATTTTTATTGATGTTAGCCCTGGCTGGTGTGGCTCAGTGGATTGAGTGCTGGTCTGCAAACCAAAGGGTTGCCAGTTCAATTCCCAGTCCGGGCACATGCCTGGGTTGCAGGCCAGGTCCCCAGTGCGGGGCATGCAAGAGGCAACCACACATTGATGTTGCCCTTCCTTTCTCCCTCCTTTTCTCTCTCTAAAAATAAATAAAAATCTTAAAAGAAATTTTTTTAATTGACGAGAGAAGGAAATTTTAGAGAGAGAAGGAAAAAAATCGATTCGTTGTTCTACTTACTCATCCATTCATTGGTTGATTCTTATATGTGCCCTGACTGGGGATCAAACCCATAACCTTAGTGAATTGGGATAAGGCTCTATCCTACTGAGCTACTTGGTCAGGGCCATACATACCTCTAAACTGTTTTCCCATGGAAATATTTCTCCCAACAAATGAGCTTTACTTTGTTAAAATCTTCCTTTTTAAAAAAAATGTTTTTATCAGACTCCTTAATGCCTTCCTGATGATTATAAGTTACAGGTTATACATATAAAGATTTCATCTCAGTTTAGTTTCATCCTTTCTAGTATTCAATTTTCGAGAGCAGGTACTCAGGCAAGATATTTTTTTAAAGTATTTTATTTATCTTTTAGAGAGGGAGAGAAACATTGATGTGATAGAGAAACATCAATCAGTTGCCTCTTGCACACCCTCAGCTGGGAACCTGGCCCACAACCCAGGAATGTGCTCTGGCTGGGAATTGAACTAGCAGCCTTTCAGTTTGCAGGACAGTGCCCAACCCACTTAGCCACACCAGTCAGCACCAGAGAATATTTTTTTTTAAGATAATTTTTTAAAAAATATTTTATTTACTTATTTTTAGAGAGGGAAGGGAAGGAGATAGAGAGAGAGAGGAACATCAATGTGCAGTTGCTGGGGGTCATGGCCTGCAACCCAGGCATGTACCCTGACTGGGAATCGAACCTGCGACACTTTGGTTCGCAGCCCGCGCTCAATCCACTGAGCTACGCCAGCCGGGACCAGAGAATATTGTTAACATTGGCTTAAACTGAATATCATTAGGAGGCAAAAATATACCCTTCAATCTAAGGGTATGTTTCAACTTTAAATGTGCTGGTTGCTGTTTCAAACTTGTCTTTAAATACAGTTTATTTTTTTTATCTACAGCTTTTTACTATGGTATGGTTATTGGTCACTTTCTTCATTATTATAATAAAAATCTGGATCTAAGCCATTTGTACACTTGTGATCTAAAGAGTCTTAGTTGGTGTGGGCTTTCAAAGAAATTATGTATATGCCACCATCACTTTCTCCCCATTAATTTATATAGCCATGAGTACATTTGCCTGTAACCTATTAGACAACCAAAAGAAAAGAATTCTGTTCTCAAACATCAGGTTATCTCAGTTGACTGGATACTAACATTCATGAACCCATAGGAACAAATTTGATTCCTATGTGAGTAGGTTAACTAAGCAATCTGAAAAGTTGATTCAGTCCCCTGCCATCAAACCATGCTCTTAGAAATTAGCAACAGCCATTTCCATGCACTGTATAGTCCCTTTCACTGATCTGGAAACTTTAAATGTTACCAGTTAGTTCTGGTAACTCATTTAGCACCTTCTTTGGTTATGACAAGCTTGGGATCATTTGTATTTTTCTTCGTAGGGATCGTCCATTATATCTTCATGTTCAGGGCCAGACGCGGGAATTAGTGGACAGTAAGTAATGTTTTTGGCTCATACACACTTTCTGTGAAAGGCAAAGTTACAGAGCTGGGTGTACTATTGTTTATGAATTACTTATGAATGTACATAGGGGTTTAGTGATTGGGAGCCAAACACTTGAGTCACCTATAAAGTGGATTAATACTAATGGAATAATTGAATATTGACCTGTGTTTATCATTGGGTACTAGTCAGTTCATTAATTTCTTTGGTACAGTATCTTACTCTCTTTTTCCCCAGGAGCTGTAAACCGAATCAAAGAAATTATCACCAATGGGGTGGTGAAAGCTGCCACAGGGACAAGTCCAACGTTTAATGGTGCAACAGTCACTGTCTATCACCAGCCAGCACCCATTGCACAGCTGTCTCCAGCTGTTAGCCAGAAGCCTCCCTTCCAGTCAGGGGTATGTTTTGTGGAGAGATCACTCATTAACAGCTTTGCCATTTCTATGAAAATGATATATGCTGAATGGAATACAGCAAATGTGAAGAAAAAAATAAAATTCTGAAATTCCATCCTGAAAGTTACCCGCTATTGATACCGTAATAATGGATCATTTAGGCTTCTAAGATGTAGCGGACATGTGAGCACACATCTCTTCCCCCTGATACATGCCAGAAAGGGGATTTTGATATATCAAAGAGTATGCACGTTGTACATTTGAAGGTAGTGTTTTCAGTTTGCATATGTAAACTCGATGGCAACTGGAGGACTAAGAAGGCGGAGTCTGATGAAGCGAGACTCTGCTGATACAATCCTCCTAGAAAAAAGGGTTGGAGAGAGCAGCCCTTACTGGAGAAGGTTCCAGGGCTGACTGTGCTACCCAACATTCTACTCCAGTCTTACAGGAAACTGTCTTTGCTGTAATTTCTTACTGTATATTAATTAGTCAAGAGGAAGTGGGTATGTTTACTCAGTATTGGATTTAGATTTTCACATCTTAGATTTTGCTGAACAGAGTAAGGTGTTAGTGTTGTAAGTAGGTTTGTGGACTGTGGTTCTCATTTAAATTAAGCTGCTTGATGGGGTTTGTTCTTATGGGCTCTTGGTAGAAATTATAGGGGGTCCTTATTCTGGAAATGATTAAAAGTATCTGGAGAATTCTTTTGTGTAATAATTTCCAAGATTAGGCTTTAATTTTATGTAGTCTCTGTTTAACCAGAGGTGTTCTGTTCTTCTACAGATGCATTATGTTCAAGATAAATTATTTGTGGGTCTGGAACATGCTGTGCCCACTTTTAATGTCAAAGAGAAGGTAGAAGGTCCAGGCTGCTCCTATTTGCAGCACATTCAGATTGAAACAGGTGCCAAAGTCTTCCTTCGAGGCAAGGGTTCAGGCTGCATTGAGCCAGCATCTGGCCGAGAAGCTTTCGAACCTATGTATATTTACATCAGGTATGGATGGATGGGGCTGAGAACTTTTGAATTCTTGTCAACTTAGCAGTATAGGCAGCAATGATTCAGGAGGAATAAGAGAAAAATGGGTTTAATAAGTAGTAACATGAGGAACTTAAGTTAACACTAGGAGTAGTCATTTTATAATTAGTTAATAAAAACTGTTGGATTAGGGGATAGATTATCTTTTTTACTGTTCAAGTCTTTGGGTTTTATACAAATCTGTGATCCTAAAATGATCTGTTCCGAGTCTACAATAACTTTGACTGAAACCTATCACAATGTGTTTTCTTTTAGAATTTATTGGAGTGACACCGGTTACAATATTTTTAAATGTCTTAATATCAAGAAATACTATTATTCAGAGAAAGACCAATAAAATAATGTGGTATTGATACTAGTTTTGCCTTAAAGGGCTTATAATATTATTCTCTGTCCCTATCTTGTGGTTTTTAGAAGCTTAGATTTCTGCTACATTGAAAAATTAAGTTTATAAAGCAGCACACAAACTGAAAGAATCCTGTATCCTTTACTTTTCTTCCCTTTGAATTCTTGGTTCTGAATTCTTTGCAGTCATCCCAAACCAGAAGGCCTTGCTGCTGCCAAGAAGCTCTGTGAGAACCTCTTGCAAACGGTGAGGTATACTTGTCTGTCTGATACTCATTCAGAGCAGCTGTTGCCCCTTTGGACTGTGTCTTAGCTGTTTTTCCCACCTGTGTTAGTTTCCTTGGCTGCCCCACACAGCTACCACAAACTGGGCGACTTGAAAATAACAGGAATTTATTCTCTCAGAGTTTAGGAATCCAGAATCAAGGTTTGGGCAGAGCTGGTTCCTTCTGAAAGCTCTGGGGGAGAACCCATCCCGCCCACACCCCCTAGCTTCCTGTGACTGCCTGTGGTCCTTGGCACCCTTTGCTTTGCATCAGCGTAATTCCCGTCTCTGCCCCCATTTTCTCTGTGTCTTTCTCTTCTAAGGGCAGCAGTCTTTGGATTTAAGATGCCCTTTAGTCCAGTATGATCTCAACTTAAAATGTGCAGGCAAAGATCTTGTTTCCAAATATGGTCATATTCTGAGGTTCCAGGTAGACATGGATTTTGGGGGGGACACTACTCAATACTACACCACTGTAGCAATTAACATTCCATTTATCGAAAACACTTCCCTGGTCAGTTGTGCAGTGGCCATGCATTTCTTCAGCAGCTGTTTCAGTATGGAATTTTGAACCTCTAGTACATTAGTTCTATAAAATACTAGTGTTGTCAGTTATTTAGATTAATGCTTTTAATCCTGGTCAAGTCATTAAGATGGGCATTCCAGATTCTTTTTGATATTAGCTTTAGCTAAAGTAAGTATAGAACTGTAATAGTTTAAAACCAATTAGCAGCACCTTTAGGATAATTGCTTATTTGATTATACATTCTCTCTGTTGTACAAGCAAATAACCAAAAGTTAAACCACAGGGCTGTTTTTATAGCACCTAAAGGAAATCAGGTTTGGGGACTGAATGTCTTCCCCCTTGTGTTACATCACATTGAAGGATGCCCTTTTGGGATGCTGCTGTTCTCTTTGCTTTTGTAAAGGAACCTGATTCACCAGCCTTTAGACCAGATAGCTTCCCTGACCATTCCCTGTCTTTTTCTTTGTTGCTGCTTGAAGTTGTGGGCTTAGTGAAATGCTTATGATGAAGAACCAGAGCAGGGAAAGTACTAAACATTTATTAAAGCAGGAACTGCTTGAGAACAGGTCACTGAGTAAACAAAAGAATAAACAGGTTTACATTCGAAACATCAATGGAAATATTTTAATTCTGTATTGCCTTGGTCCTCAGATGGTATAATTAGATCCCTGTAAATACTCAGTAAATTAGGACTGTCCCATACTAATTTGTTTTTCCTTCTCTTTCAGGTTCATGCTGAATACTCTAGATTTGTGAATCAGATTAATACTGCTGTACCTTTACCAGGTGTGTATGTCTTAAAGTATTTAACTAAAAAATATTTTTGCTAGTGATATTTATGAATAAAATAATGATACTTGAGGCTAGACTGACTGTGCCAGAACACTAATATTGTTCCCTTCACCTTAGGGTAATTTGGAAAGCCATTTGAACCTTAGTATTTTTCTTCCCTAGAGATTAAGTTTAATATTCAGCTAAAATGTCTCATTCTGCTGCAGCTGATTAAACACTTTTTTTCTTCCCCCTCAGGCTATACACAACCCTCTGCTATAAGTAGTGTCCCTCCTCAGCCACCATATTATCCATCCAATGGCTATCAGTCTGGTTACCCTGTTGTTCCCCCTCCTCAGCAGCCAATTCAGCCTCCCTATGGAGTACCAAACATAGTGCCACCAGCTGTTTCATTGGCACCTGGAGTCTTGCCAGCATTACCTACTGGAGTTCCACCTGCACCTGTGCCAACACAATACCCGATAACACAAGTGCAGCCTCCAGCTAGCACTGGACAGGTAAGATGCCAGGACATGAAGCATGATACCATTGAATTAGGAAAAACGGGCAGGAAAGGGGTGGAAAGGTGGTGGTATTATTCAGAAGTCATATGTAATGTGAAGTATTGTTTTCCTGTTACTGCCACCAAAGTACCTGTATACTTGAGAATAGTGTATGTGCGTCGATTCATCTTGAAGTTCACGATTAGTTTCTTGAGTCTTGCCGCCTTATAGTGAACAGCAGGAGTTGGTGAGCTTTTTACAAAGGGCCTGATGATAAATATTGTAGGCTTTGTGAGCCACTTGATCTCTGTCACAACTACCGCAACTCTGCTGTTCTAGCACAAAAGCAGCCACAGACAATACCAAATGAACGTGTGTGGCCGTGTGCCAGTCACACTTGATTGACAAAAATAGCAGGCCAGAATCATAGTGTGCCGTACTGTAGCCATCATTTGCCTGCGCCTGGCTTTACAGTGTTCAAGAATAGTCTTCAAGGAGGAGGCTGGCCTATACTACACCTTTAGATGCTTGGAACAGAATTGCTATTCTCGGAAATATACCATATATTAGTGTTCCTAGGCCAAGATATGTGAACTCACCAAACGTAAGGATTGTAAGTGCTGGTGTATCCTTGGCTGGGTAATTCAGTTGGTTAGAGTGTCGTCCTGATATAGCAAGGTTGCAGGTTTGATTTCTGGTCAGGGCACGTACAAGAATCAACCAATGAGCGCATAAATAAGTGGAACAGCAAATAAATGTTTCTCTCATATCAGTAAATTAAAAAAAAATAAGTGCTGGTGCATATTTCTCAAACTGTAAGAAACCAGAATTTTAGGGAGAGTAGGCAGCTAGCTCATTTAGATGCATTATATACAATCCTTAGAGGCAGAGGAGAGATGAATGAGAGAGCATGGTAATGGATTTATGGCGGGCCCTCCCCTGTGGGCCTCTCATAGTGTGCTCATGCCAGAGTAAATTGCAACCTCGAACCATTGCCCAGCCTCCTTATCTATGGGCTGTGAGCACTGAAGGGGGTTGTACAGTGTGAAACAAAAAAGGTCTTCTGGACTGAATTCTGTTGTGGTCCCTAGTCATAACTGCTTTTCCTGTTGTGTTTAGGCAGAGCTCAGTACTGTGTAGTTCTCCAGCTCTGAGCCATATTCTTTTGTAATTAGAAAACAGTGTAACAGAGTAATTATTTTTGAGCTTTGTGATGTTGGAATATAACATAACCTATTTAGGCTTCAGTTTTCCTTCTATATAAAATGGGCAAAATAACATCTCAAAGCGTTGCAAGGATTAAGATAGTCCAGGTAGTCATTAAATATTAGCCATTTGTCATTCATAAGACTTTTTCTTTTAAATGTGCTTCTTTAATATGTACTGTCTTTTGATAACCCCTTGTTCCTTTTTGGAACAACCTCCAAAAGAGTAGACAGACTTGCTCTTGATATAACTTATCCATGGAAGTGGTAGGTAAGTTGTCTTTGCCACAAACATTAGCGAAATTAATGGTCCAGAAAGCTAGTCGCATTGGTTGAAGGGCTCTAAGTAAGAGAGAATTCTTGCTCAGTAACTTCTGAACTAAGTAAGTGGGTGGAGTTTTTGTGTGTTAATGGTCATGTTTGCTCCTAATAGCACAAATGCATGATGAGTTTTTCCTGAGGGTTGAAAGCACTGTAGAGATTATTAATTTTATGTTTCCCTACCATGAAGGTGGGGAAGACTAGGTAATACTGTTAGCAAATTATACATGAAGGAAACTAAGGACCAGAAGGTAAAAGATTCATGTTGTGTATGTTGATCATTGAAATGTATTGTAGTCATTGTTTATTTTGCTAGGGATTCTCACACCGTTTTTCCTCTTGGTTTGTTTTTGTCCCAGAGTCCGATGAGTGGGCCTTTTATTCCTGCTGCTCCTGTCAAAACTGCCTTGCCTGCTGGCCCCCAACCCCCGCCCCAGCCCCAGCCCCAGCCCCCACTCC